GAAATATAACAACATAATTGTCTTCGATTTATCTACTTTACCTACTTCATGAGCCGAAAACCAATTTATCTTTACACACTTTTTATAATACTTATAAATAGTGTCACCCCCGTCCATGCTATTCACCACCAGAAGACAAGGCATTATACAGGCATTATACAGTAATTCGGCACCAAATCCTGAATTTACGTGATTTCCAACATTTTTTTTTATATGAAGAGAGTAGAATAGTAGGCCTATTTCTAATAAATCAATTATCATTCATTATTATACTTTTTAAAATATCAACAATTATTTTACACTGTTTGCAAATAAATTTGGTTTATTGTATTAGCTATAAAATTTTAATTGGTGTTTTTAGGTAAGAAAATATAATAATAGGCCAATTCCTATATAGGGCCTATTGATATAAGATCACATACATTTTTACCGACTCAGAGTCTCAGCTGGGTCGGCACACACTGGGCAGACCTCACTATTTGCCAATTAATCGTACCTATCATTGTATTTAAAATTAAAATTGAATTATTGTTGTAGATCCATCTACCCTGAAATTAAATATTACAGAGGTTACTATAATATCTAACAATTTCCGTGTTTACATTCTGGGACGTGACGTACGTACGAACTTGCGTACTTGCGTACGTACGTACGTGTGTTGCGTAAATGAGTACGCGCAGACTGTTGAAGGTATGTTAACCAATCAAAAGCGTCAGCGGCAAATCAAATTAAAGCGCTTCGTAACCAAGGCACAGCACACACATCCTGGGCAGGGCGTATAAGCCAGTGAAATAGTTCAGTTTTCTTTGCTATAAAAATCACCTTTCCCGTGGGTATATTTTGATAAACTTTTTGTATGTTGTTGATATAAAATTTAACTATATATATTCATAAAAAAACGTTTTGTTGCAATTATGTCCAACTTTGGTGCTTGAAATCCGTATTTCTGGTGGACTATTGATATTGAAAAAAATTAGAAATCAGGAGGAAGCCATTTGACAACATTAAACGTAAATGGGGGATAACCGAGTATTACATTCCAATTTTGAGTCTGATAGTGCCATTTCCAGCCATCTAGAAGTGCCATAAACATACAAATTTCGTCCATTACTTCCACCAAAGAGTATAAAACTGCAAGAGGTCCGACTGCCCTTATTTTGTATACAGACTCCCACAAAGGGGCGTGTCCTTCATAAGAACGTAAAATGCGTTCGCATCGAACGCGTGCTGCGTTTCGAATTCCAGCATACTGTACGTTCAATAAGGCTATGTTCAGACACAATGACTTACGCTAGCGTAACGTTAATCGAGTGGTGTGAACTTGTGCGCGGCGTAGCGAACGCCAGTATTATCGCGCAATCACTGGCGTACGGTAATCCAGCAACAGACCCCAGATTAGCGTACGCCACTGATTTATGACAGTCATGCATCGGTGATTTTGAACTCAGCCAAGATTTGACCAATCAAAATAAACCTAGATGTAAACAGAAAATAAAATGCGCGAATTACGAATACGAATATTTCGCGCGAATACTTACGCTAGATTTCGCGCGAATACTTACGCTAGCGTTCATTAATCGCCCAGTCTGGACATCTCGCTAGTTACGCCATGGATTAACGTACGCCCGGCGTTAAATACGCCTGGCGTATCTCACAGGTCTGAACGTAGCCTAACGCGCAGCACACGTTCGATATGAACGCGCTTTACGTTCTTTTAAAGGCCGCGTTCCAAAGAATCCCCGGCAGTCGGACCTCTTGCAGTTTTATACTCTTTGCTTCCACCCCTATGGTGGGGCTGGGGTAGCGTAATTCGCCTATCTGTAAAACTTACTGCCTGTACCTCCTCCCCTTCGGATAGTCGAATTCCCAGATGTCGTAATTTGGAGAATCATCTTCTATCCATAATATAATATTATTGGCGAAATTTAAATGGGGAATATAAGAAAATACCTTCATTTTTTTAATTTTGTGAAGTGAGAGATCACTAAAAAAAAAAAAAAAAAAAAAAAAAAAAAAAAAAAAAAACCCCGACATATCCTTCTGGTTTAAAAACGTTTTTTTCTATTAATACTTCAATGTTTATTGTAATTTCTAATAATGGTCCTGCATAAATTAATCAATAATGTAATTTATGAAGAATAAAGGAGCTGAACACTCTTGTGTAGATGCCGTAAGTTTAAACGAAACAATCTTCTGTCTTGTCACCCTCCCATCCTATGAGAGACGTATGTGACCTAAAAGTCAAAAATAATATTAGATTAGCCTTAAAATTATTCTCATAAATTAGCCCCTTCCCCTAAAACTAACGGCAGCTGGCTATTTACTAATTTGTTTTCTAGAACATATTTTTGACGGGTTTGTGGGGTAAATCGTCACATAGATTTGATTCTTACTCAAATTAGTATGTGTATGTGATTTTATCTTGTCCACTCCCGAGCGGTATTTTTGGTGTTCAATGTGCAAAATCGGAAGCAAACATTCAGTATTCCCCAATAATGACATCATAATTTTTAACTTATATTAGAACTTGATAAAAGTAAAACAATATAACATTTTCTTCGTTGTTACAAACAAGAAAATTTTAGTATAAAACACACTATAGATGTTATTACAATATATAAACGAATATGTATTGTCTATAAATATCAATGTTTAAACAAGTGCTCAAACGTTTTCGAATCGAAAACAAATTTCTACCAACTGCTGTTAACAATAGGCCTATATCTAAATAAACAACTTGTTGCAACAAGTGTTCAATGTTTTCGAATCGACAACAAATTGGTTTCTACCAACTACGGTTAGCAATGTTAATATGTTCTATTAATGATGGATGAGTTTCTACATTACAAATGCAATACATTAGGCCTATAGAACAATTATGTGTTGTCTATTATGAGAGTAGTTATTGTAACAAGACAGTGTTTAAATGTTTGCAATTTGAAAACACATTGGTTTCCATCAACTGCTAATAACAATATGCTAATATGTATTACATACCGGTATCAATTTCACTGTTCCATGGTCTAACGGTATGACGCTCGAGATTGAGTGTTCGGTTCCCACCAAAGAACTTTCGTTTATGAACTATGTTTGATACAATTTATAACATCAGGTTCCTGATGATGTATTTGAGCACTTTATTATTACCTATATATATATATATATA